TGAATAATACTGAGGAGGAAAACACCATTAAATTAGAGCAAAGAGTAAAATGATAATTCTATATCTTACTGACAAAAATTTTAAAACATATTAAATGGAAAATATCTTAAAATACTAAAGAGAAGAAAACTAGAAAAATAAAAGGCTTTTTTCCTTGGAATTTTTGTATTAATGGGCTTTGATACTCTAACACCAATTAATTCATATCTCTAAGGGCAATATATAGATTAACTCCTCAAAATCACTTTTTTCAAGTATTATCTCATAATACTTTTTATATAATGGCTTAAAAAATCAATATAAGGGCCTAGAAACCCAATTGAGGGACAATTATTTCATAAATAAACATAAGCACATTTTCTTCTTAATCTAATGCAAATATCAATCAACCTAGTTGTTAACTTTTCCAAATATATGCAGAAAACACCATTTCTCAATGAAAATGCAAGTTGCTTGCTATCCTGAAACATGTAAAAAAGCATCAGATGCTTTACTCAAAACCAAGTGTTATGGTTTAGATATGAGATGTCCCCCAAAGTTCATGTATTAGACAACACAAGACAGTTTAGAGGTGAGATGATCGGCTTATGAAGCCTTTACCTAATCAATGCATTGACGAATTTGAAGGGATTAACTGGGTGGTAGCTGTAGGTAAGTAAAGCATGGCTGGAGGAAATAAGTTACTGAGGGTTTACATTTGGGATATATATTTTTTCTCTGGTGAGTGAAGCATACCCTCTTACTCCCGCTGTACTTCCTCCCTCATTCTCTCTCTGTCCCAGCCCTCCTCTCTCTCTACTTTCTGATTGTCATTCATGTCCTGAGAAGTTTTCTTCCATCTCATCCTTCTGCTCTGATGTTCTGCCTCAACTCAGACACAAAGCAATGGAGGCAGCTGTCTATCAACTGAGACCTCTGAAACCATGAGCATCAAATAAACTTTCCTCCTCTAAAATTGTTATTGTAGATCTTTCATCACAGCAATGAAAAAGCTGACTAAAACAGAAATTGGTACCAGGAGTGGGGTCATTGTTGTGATTAAACTGACTTTGTGGTTCAGAAGCCTTTGGAGCTTTTTGGAATTTATGGGAGGAATTTTGAAAAGCATAGAGGTATAAGCTGGAAAAGCTTTAGATTGTTGTAAGTAAGGTTTAATAGGCAATTCTGGGAGCTGTGAGGACCACAATGTCAATTAAACTGTGGATAGTAAAAACTGGTCTCAAGAGGTTTCAGGGGCATACAGCTAAAGCAATATATTTGAAGCCTTATATTTTAAAAAGGACAACATTCAGGTGGTGGCATGGATATTGTGATAATCAGAAGCAGAAAGCAGAGCATAAAGATCTGAAAAACTTGCAGTGTGGCCAGAAAATTGGGAGTAAAGAGCTGGGTATATAGCTCAGTTGGTAGAGTGCCTTCCTTGCATGCACGAGGCCCTGGGATTCAATCCCTAGCACCAAAAAAAAAAAAAAAAAAAAAAAAAAAATTGGGAGTTAAACTGAGGCTAAGAAGGTATGGTTGTTCAGGGAATTATGGTGATTATAGGGATTAGACACACTAAAAAAGTGCTAATTACTTCACCCACAAATAATTGGAAAGATGGCTTAAGGGCCTCTCATGCTTCAGGGGTAAAAGCAAAAATTTCTTTGAAAAGACACCATGGGGGCACCTGGCTTACACAGGGAGAAATACGAAGTTGTTTTGCCAAGCTCAGCCACCCAGGCACACAGAGGTTCTTGCAGCTGTGGTTCCAGGATGCTTGGTTATTGCTCTGAAATGGTGGTAGACCTTGGTATCAACCACTTGTGCTGGTTCTGCTTGGAATGTAGGATGCTGGCACGAGGGGGTTAAGGGGGCTTCCCTCAGAGGCCAGGCAAATTGTAGAAAGGTCAGAGTCCCTATTGGTCACCCCTGAAAGGGCAATGTGTGGAGATGTGAGAAGGAAACCAAAGCTGCAGTAGAGAACTCCAAGATTAAGAGATGCCAGTAACATGGAAAATCTCCCTAGGAAAGCTACAAGAATCCAGCAGAGACAAGCCAAGTGGCCACATGGGCTGCAAACACCAAAGCCATAGGGGCAGAGCTATGCGAGCCATTTGGAGAGAACATCATGATGCCATGTGCTGAACCTGGATGCTGGACCTGGAGCTACAAGACATGAACTTGTGATCCTCCTGTCTCAAGACGTTATCATTTCATAGAAAGTTCCTCCATCTTTAAAAAGTGGCTCTATAGAGAATTCAAAAATAATAAAAAAAACCTTTCAAGTTATTAGATCAATATTTTTCGTGCTAGTATAAAAGTAGGAGTCAACATTACAGCTGTAAAATGGGATAATAACACATGTCCAAACAAATTTTTAGAGTTAGATATATAAGTATCACCTGAGTTTTATGAGGAAATGCTTTGTGAATTGTAATACAGGATTACTTGTTTCCTCGTTTTAAAGGATGAAAATTGGCTTATAGTTTGGACCACACAATTAATTGTTTAATTTAGTAAGGGACATTTCCATAGTAAAAACAACAACAAAAAATTACAAACACAAATGTCTGAGGAGACAAGAGAGGTGAAACACATGAATGAAACAGGTCTTGATGAAATAATTGTGGCAAAGTGGAGAGTGCATGCCCCAAGCAAAGTGGCAACCCATCCTAATATTTTCAGAAAAAGCTTGAACTCTTGGAATTTATGCAAATTACACTAATTTGGAAATGTTGTAAGTACACCAATTATTTTAAAGTACTTAGCTGACCCAAGTAAAAATGTTGAAGGTTAAATTCAGCTTTTAAATTAGGAACTTATGACTTCTACATGAGGCTTTGTGTCCTTAACAATGTCCAAAAAAACCCATAAACTTATGTATGTCTAAGTACCCTCAGATATAGGAGCAATGGATAATGACAGTGGCCAGCATCATTCTGTCTGCTTACTGTAATCCAGGGACCCAGTGAGCTTATAGTTTTATATTCATTATGACAGTTAATATTTACAAGAAAAATTTAGAAAGGTTATTACTGTAACCCCTGATTTCAGAAAGAAGACAGAGGATTAGAAAATACTTAAGGTCCTAATACTGTAAATGAGTCAAGAAATAAACCAGGTCAAAGTCCACAGTAGATATTAGGTGTTCAGTAAGAGATGATTTCAGTTTAGTTTAAAAGAGTAATGTTTCCCATTCTAAGGTTCCTGATTCCCTATCTACCCCCAAATTGATAACTGTCTTTTGTAACTTAGTTTAAAAGCCTAATGGGAAATGAAACTATTTTGTATTACCAAGGAAAAGGAGTTTGCTAGAATCATCTTTCAAATTATCAATTCATAAAAACTAATTAAGGGATCATTGTAAAAAAAGAGAAAGTTGGGAAAAACAATGCAGAATTTAATTAAAAAGACAAAACATTTCACATCAAACTTTTATATGTTACATAAAGGACTATATATTCTAAAGTATATTTGAGCTTTCAAATATTTGTTTGATTAAACTTAGTAGCAACTTATGGATCTTCAAATATTTTAGATTTAATAGGTAAAAGTTATTTTTCAAAGATTGTAAGCAAAAAAAAATATTAGGCTGTAAAGACAGTTGAAAAAGGAAGTGCAGGATGGCATGAATGCATTATGTGATGTGACCAAAATCTCTTCCAATAGACACATGTACTAAGGTCATATTAAAGATCAGTGGAATGAATCTTTTACTTTGCATTTTTGTCCCCAGAATAATAATAAAAAGGGACCAAGACAGATGAGAGTAATTTTTCACATGCTAGACATCACATCAATATATTCATAAAGAATGTTATCTTTGAAAGCTTATACATTACTAAATCTTCCCATTTTAAAACAACTATTTTTTACAATGTAATAAAATCAAAATAGCACGAATAACATACAACCTCATTCACCTGTCAAAACTTAGCACTTAGGCTCTGCTAAATCCAGAAAACTTGGCAACTTTATCAGCCTACCTTTAGCAAAGCTTGAAAATATAATGTTCAGATATCAAGACACACAATACACATCTAACGCTGCAGCTATGGGCCTGTAACACAACAACAAACATCATGGCATTATAAAGATAAATATTCAGGATCTGAACTAAAAACATTTTAAGCAGGAACAGCAAGACTGTAACTCATTTCTGGGGTTTAGCACTTTTACATAACGAGGAACCCAAAGCTCTTAACCACCTAAAGTAACTTTAAAGCTACTTGGACTAGTATGAATTACAAAACTTCTTGAGCATTTGGATGCCTGGACAATCAGTTAATTCACCAAACTACAGAAGCCATAAGAAAACCTTGGAAGATATTTTGGATTTTCACAACGCCCTCCCCCCTTTTAACGTTAGTGTCAGCACAACAGCTATTTCAAGGTTTACAGGCCCATTTCCATCTTAATAACAACTGCTTTTTAAAAACCCTCAAAGGGGAATTTTAGCAAGACGCAAATACAAAGTACTGGAGAAGAGAACAGGGCAGCTGGTGAGCAAGCTGAGAAGGAATCCGTTTCAGGCAAGATTTCTGTTTCTTTACAAGGATCGCACGTCTCTGCTTTCTCTATTCTTAAAAGGAAAACTCCTTTACACATGCTGTGGTGAAGCAGGGGCCCCAGCTCCTACAGAAATCACCCCTCAATACAGGTTTGAGGACTCGGGGTGTACTGTAGGCGGCAGCGGTGGCGCCACGCGTGCCACAGGTCCTCACCACAGGGACCAGACCTGGGCGCACTGGCTCTCCACTTCGCCCCTCCAGTCGCGCTCAATTGCTCCCTCTTATTTTCTCCTTAAAGTCAGCTCTCTATCCCTCCGTACCCCAAAAACGTCCTCGGTATAAATGGCCTTGTAGATTATACCAAGGATGAGAGGCTAAGCCGCCTCGCGCTCTCCGAGCCCAGGGTGCGCCCCACACGCCCCCAGCGCCAGAGGTCCAGCGCTGCGTTCCAGACGCCGCTCCCCGCCCCCTGCCCCCGCGGGTCCCCGGCGCTGTCCCTACCCCTACCTGTGCAAGAAGCAGGTCGCTCCTTCGTCCCCTCCTTGAGCCTTGGCGGACGGCGCTCCCTAGAGGCAGGGGGGCGGGGTGACCCGAGGGGCGGTAGCCACGCCAGGGATGGGACAGGGCCGCTGGCCGGGGGCGGGCCGGAGGTGGGCGGGAAGAGCAGATCAGAGTCACCCATGCCAACCGCGCTGGGTAGATCTTTGACCCGCCACCCTAATCCCGTGCGAGGGTCTATTCTTCCTCTGGCCGGCGCGCCACCGCCTGGGGTTAACAGCCGCGAGCCCAGGCCGAACCAACCCTGCCGGCTAGTCACGGGGCCCTGGGCTGGGCACCAAGGGGCTTCCCGGAGCCCTCCAGACTTGGCGTTGGGAGCGAAGGGAGCCCGATGTCAACCCTTGAGCGCCTCCGGAATCCAGGAACCCCCTTGGACAGGCAAAGTGCCTGGAGCAAGTCTCTTCCCTGCGCTGCAAGGTGTCCAATATCCCCAAGGAACTTTCCCCAATACTTGGGAACTCGGACCAGGAGGATGCAATCTCCTGGCAGTCAGGCCAGACCCTGATCAAGAGCACTGGTTTCATTCCTAAGAGGGCCAGTGGCACATAAGGTCGCTCCAGGCACCTGTTCGCTTTGGCAGTGTTAAGGAAGTTGAGGCTCCCCTGAAGTCGAAGGCAGAAACTTGGGCCCTGTTGGTTGTGTGGGGGGCGGGAGTCTGTTGATCACCAGTCCTTTCTGGCCTGGTGAAGTCTGGTGGGTTTATAGTCTAGGACACATTGGGATCCCCCGTGGAGGGGGCTGACAGGATAAGGTCCAAGCCCGCCAGATTCCTTGAGAAGCCTCAGGGGACATTTTGGATTGTGTCCCATTCCCTTTAAAAGGTGAAGATCAGCATCAAAATTTTCTTTGATTCTGTTAATAACCTAAATGGCCTTGTGGATTATATAATTGGAGAATTATAAAAGAGACCAAAAAGAGGCCATCTAGTTGGAGTCTGCATCTGTCTTAAAGGGGGGAAAAAAAAAGAAATATATATATATATATATATATTTATATATATATTTCTTAATTTATCAATATATAATTTCTATATGTAAATTTTATATACATATAAAATTTGTCAATAATCCTGCATTTTCTTATTTTTCTCACATTTCTCCTACATTTTTGTTTGTCTTTTTTTTTCATATCATGGTTATTTCGTATTCTTTGTTAAAATTGAGAATGGAATCAATTTTTCTATTGTATTTTGAGTATTGTTTGCCTAATTAAAGCCAATGCTTTACTGTGTGTGTTCATATGTATTTGTGTGTATGATATAAATGTAATTATTTGCATGGATGTCAAAAGGTCATTCGCATATTCACAACCTTTCTTGTAAAATAACTTAAAATTGAAACTCTGAACAGTGGATTTTTAATGTGGAATATATTGAATCGATGGCCCAACGTATAAACAACTTCAAAATTTCATTATTTCTTTAAAAAAAAAGATCACAGCAAATATATTTTAAAATATTTCTGACCGTTTGAGATATATCTAAGAAAACTTAAGAATTAACAAGAAAACAGCCATATACACAGTAGCGTCCATACACACAATAAAGCAGCAGTTTTAACATAGGCAACCAATATTCAAAATACAATTAGAAAAAATTGATTTGATTCACAATGAAATAACCAAGAAAGATAAAAAAATTGAAAAATGTAGGAAACATAAAATGAAAATATAGGGAAAAATAAGAACAATGTAAGACTGTTGAGAAATTATAGGATTTCACTAATTGGAAAAATATAAGCTCCCTAAGTGGAAGTATCTGATGTGAACTGAATATTTTAGTGTTAGAACTGTTCCCTGCATTAGATTTGAAACCCATCTTGGCCATGTATGAATGTAAAATGCATATTTACATTCTTGATATAAGCTAGTACTCCAAGGTAGAAATTTATCAATATAAATGATACTCATATAGTTGAGACCAATCACTAATCCTTTCTAAATCATCTCACCTATTGTCTGGACTCTTAACTTCTTAGACCCAAGTGTTTCTTGATCATTTCGGGAATTTTGGTTTGCTTCCTTATTGTCAGTTTCCCAGATCTACAAGCTTGTAAACATTTATATCATGGTTTAAGTACACCAGAACTATTGATTAATTATACCTAATTAGGCAGAAGGAGTTAATAGTTGACTTACACAGTTATTTGTAAAATTGTCTACATTTAAAACCTCATTGGTGTTATCCACTTGATGTTTCCCTATGATTTTTGAACTTCTATCATCCTTTGCCTTTATCCTTTAAACTGTATAAGTTTACTCTGTAGTTTTACACACACTTTACAGAAAGTTTCATGTAGCACTTGCAATATAGGCTTTTATGAGCCTCCTGTTCTTTGTGTTTAAGGAAGTAATAAAATTAGTAGAAAGCAAAACAAGTCTAGCAAAGCTAGGGGTAGAGCACTGTCCCCCTTTTTCTTTGTGCCCATGTTCTTGCCAGTAGCATGTTCTTGCCACTCACTGCTTGTCTCATTTTAGGGTAAGTTTGGGGCTGTTGGGAACTCAGGAAGTTACCCATGGCACTTTACAGATGGATGCAAATTGTTCTAGTCTTTCTTGTTAAGCTTATATTCATGGATCTCAGCTCAGTTTCCTTAGAAAACAAGGTCCAGACTGTTAGATATCTGTATGCTGATGGTGTGGAATCCTATTGGTAAAATATCAGTACATAGAAAAAGAACTAAGAAAATAACTCATTTCTTATTCCATATGGGTCAGGAGCATCCTGTGTGCAGTGGACAACAACAACCCAAGAAATGGCCCCAAATCCCTGCCCTTATGGAGATTGGGGTCTAGTTGTGAAGATGAAATAATTAAACAAATAAGTAAAACATATTGCATTTCAGATGGCGATGAATGTGGAAATCAATAGGAGGAGGAAGGCTAAAGAGAGAAAGCAAGTCTACAGTTTGGGATGGGATAGGAAGGAAAAGACTGGCTAAGAAGGTAACAGTTAGGCCCTATGGGGATCAGTCTCGGGCTTCAACTAGGGGCTGGAGGACATCAAACACTGATTCCTTTGACACCATGGAGATATAACCTCCCATGGATGAATCTTCTCAGAAGTGTCCTGGTCACTAGGGATTCCTTCCTTTCTTCACTCCTGCCCTTGAAGGATTGACTGGTATGAAAGAGTTTACTTCTGGCCAAAAATGTTCCAAGAGTTTAGGAACCTAAAATGTGAATGTTGTAATAAATGGAAGAACCATAGGAGCAAGGAGCTAAGTGCTGGAAGCTGACTGGCCATGAGACTGGACTCGTACAACACAGTTAACAACCAGAATCCAACCTGTTCACCTAGATGTCCCCTGCTCAGTACATCCCTCTGTAATTCCCTAGGGGTGTTTGTGACATTTGCTCTAAGCTCTATATCTACCCAGTGATTCCTTGTGTTTACTTTCTGCATTCTATAAATCAAATTTTCTCTTTGATGTTTATTTTAATCAAGTTTTCATTCATTAGACACCGATACAATATTAGGAGAGGAGAGAAGTCAAATGTAGTGTAATTTCTTGTGGATGACTGAGAATGACTTCCCACCAAGGCAGAAGAATTCCAGAAGTCATTTGGGAATTAGCCCTTTTGTGGAAGTCCTTTCTTCCTAGAGCTGACTGGGAAGGAGCAAAGAGCATCAACCAACCACTGGGCTCTACTCTGATCCAGTGGCAGCCCTGTGGATATTCTTAATTGACTAGTATTGTGTAGAACATCACCACTTAGAAATTTTAATGGCAAATCCAGCAGTGTTGACATGGATGCTCCTGAGTAGAGATACAGTATGGTAGAGTTGAAGTAAGATTGGAAGGAGGAACAATTTTGGAAAAGCATGGCCTGGCAACACACTGTAAAGTTCCTTGTACATTTTCTATTTTTTCTATTCAGATACCAGCAATTTTTTTTAAACCTCATGCATGACTTTTATGTTTTGGGATTAACAAAGCATTCACTAACTTGGAATGAACAGATGCCAGAGGTTAAGAAATTTTCTCGCCAAAGTACACCTGGGAAGAGAATATAAGACAGAGTAGGATAGAACAAAAATATCCTGAAATTTAGGATATTTACAAATTTAGAAGGATACTTCTAAACTACTCTTTGTGCTACAGTGTGCACTGTGTTATCCTTATCTAGTTCTTTCTATGTCATTTACATTTCAATAGAGTTTACTTAATTTAGTTGGGCTTTTCTTTCCCCTATGAAACTTGTTGAGTGTTGTTCAGACACACAGAACCATTAGGATGTGTGGATATATAGAGAAAAGGGTATGTAGAGGGATTGGTGCATGAAATTACAGAGGCCGCTAAATTCCAATCTGTTGTCTTGTAGCTGGAGGCCAAGGAAAACCTATGGTATAGTTTCAGTCCAAACACAAAGGCCTGAGAATAAGAGATGCCAGTGGTATAAGTTCTAGTCCAAGTCCTGAAGCTCAAGAACTAGGAGATCTGCAGTCTGGAGGCAAGAGAAGATGGATGTCTCAGCTTAAACAGAAAGATGGAATTTACCTTTCCTCCACCTTTTTGTTTTATTTGTTTCCTTGTGGATTGGATGATGCATGATTATATTGATGGGGGAAGTTCTTTTGTTTCTACTATCTTAAATCTGAATTCTTCTAGTTACACCCTCAAAGACACACCTAGAAATAGTTACACCAGCTATCTGGGCACCCCTTAGCCCAATGAAGTTCACACAAAAAAAGTAACCATCACAAAATTCTGCTCTTAATTTAAATTTGCAGTAAAAAGAAAAATTAACTATGTACAGATAATTTGTTGTCAGTTGACCTTTCATTTCTATGACTTACTAGCTATGTTACAATGAGTATATTTTTAAAACTCTGTGCCTCAATTTATTCCTCTAGAAAATGGTGAATAACAAGAATATTGTCTATATTGTAGAGTTTTTTTGAGGATTAAGTGAAATTATCATTCTCATTAAAATCATCATTATAAGGGCTCAGGACATTACATGGCATATAATTAGAATATATAGGCTATAATTTTTGCTAGTATGTCATATTATTATAATTATCATTTTTTCACAAAAGTATTTCAGGGCTCTTATTATAAAACTCTTCCTTGTTTCCAATATATCAATTATTTCAATCAAGAAAAACAGTAGCCTAATAGAAAGAGAGTGACTTTTATCATTATTGAGATTCATTGTTCCTAACTACATGAATTTTGCACAGTTCTTTTAATTTCTCTTAATCTTAATTTTTCTCTATTTGTTCAGCAAGATAGATATTCTTAATCACTGAATAGAGCTGGGAATACTCAAATTCAGGGATATTATGGATACTGAACAAGATCATATATAAAGTCCTGGAACTTTGTTGACTCCATAAATGGGAACAGTTATTTTTAGTTATTAT